ATGGGTTTCCATGGCCGAGCAGCCGCACACAAGCCTAAGATCACCATGCGCAATCCCATGCATCGGCTGGAGTAGTGTAAAGCTCGCCGCCATTGGACTCAGGAGTAGTGGAAACGCGTTCTCTGGAGTGATGAATCACGGTTCACCATCTGGCAGTCCGACAGACGAATCTGGGTTTGGTGGATGCCAGGAGAACGCTACCTGCCCCAATGCATAGTGCCAACTGTAAAGTTTGGTGGAGGAGGAATAATGGTCTGGGGACATTTTTTATGGTTCGGGCTAGGCCCATTAGTTCCAGTGAAGGAAATCTTAACGCTCAGCATTCTAGACGATTATGTACTTCCAACTTTGTGGCAACAGTTTGCGGAAGGCCCTTCCCTGTTTTAGCATGACAATGCCCCCGTGCACAAAGCGAGGTCCATACAGAAATGGTTTGTCAAGATCGGTGTGGAAGAACATGACTGGCCTGCACAGAGCCATGACCTCAACCCCATCGAACACCTTTGGGATGAATTGGAACTCCGACTGCGAGCCAGGCCTAATCGCCCAACATCAGTACCCAACCACACTAATGCTGTTGTGGCTAAATGGAAGCAAGTCCCCGCAGCAATGTTCCAACATCTAGTGGAAAGCCTTCCCAGAAGAGTGGAGGCTGTTATAGCAGCAAAGGGCTGACCAACACCATATGAATGCCCATGATTTTGGAATGAGATGTTCAACAAGCAGGTGTCCACATACATTTGGTCAAGTAGTGTATGTTGCCCTAAGAGTTGGTAGAATATTAGTACAAATAATTGACAGCTGTAATTTCTGCCAAAGGTGCTTCCACCAAGAATAAAACTCTGGGGTGTGAAGACATACGGAATTATCTTCGTTTTTAATTTTCTTTCACTTTGAAAAAGTTGGAGCAGGTTGTGTTGATCTGTAGGAACAAAATCAAATGTAATCCCTTTTTAGATTTAATTATAAGGCAGCAAAATGTGACAACTGTGCAAGGCACTGTATTGACAGAAGACATTACCTAAGGGTTGTGATGGGATGAAACCTGAAGGAGGAAAAAGCACCTGGACCAGCAGCATTCCTGTCAGTCCATTATGTTCTCTAGTGGCTGAGCCACATACACACATTGTTTTTCTTTGACCCACTTTGTTTCCCTCTCAAAGTACTTTCTGACAAATGTATTTAGTATTATTTGAGTTTCAGGCAGTCACCATTCTACGCATATGAAGTGTACTGTACATGTTACATGGTTGGGGCCATTTTATTCAGGGAATTAATTGGATATAGTGATTTAATATGGTGAGTGAATTGAATTGAGATGGCCCTCATCCTTGTGTCACACAAATCCAGTCAACCTGAATGTGTTGCTGTATGACCCATCCCTTTTTAATCACTTAACAAATTATGAAGTGAATGAGATGACCAGTTTGGGAGTGAACCACTTCTGTCCACTATTCTTCTCCTGAAGTGAAGTGTTAAAACGTACACTAGCTTGTGTTACAATTAGACCCACAATTTACATTGTAGAAAACATGAAGATAACTCCCACACACACGATTTTACCTCTGCTCATTTACTATCAATATTTTAGTCAGACTTTTTAGAAGAAATGTCTCTATTTTCTCCCTATTCCTCAGTCACACCAGTACTTACAGCCCAACCCCTCATTTCCTCTGCTACAAAATATCAACGCAACATGCAACAATTTCAAAGATTTTACTGAGTTACAGTTCATATAAGGAAATCAATCAATTGATTACATTCATTAGGTCCTAATCTATGGATTTCACATGACTGGGAATACAGATATGCATCTGCTGGTCAGATACCTTTAAAAAAAGGTAGGGGCGTGGATCAGAAAACCTGTCAGTATCTGGAGTGACCACCATTTGCCTCATGCAGCGCGACACATCTCCTTCGCATAGAGTTGATCAGGCTGTTGATTGTGGCCTGTGGAATGTTGTCCTACTCCTCTTCAATGGCTATGCGAAGTTGCTGGATATTGGCGGGAACTAGAACACGCTGTCGTACACGTCGAAAACATGCTCAACTGGTGACATGTCTGGTGAGTATGCAGGCCATGGAAGAACTAGGACATTTTCAGCTTCCAGGAATTGTGTAAAGATCCTTGCGACATGGGGGCTGTGCATTATCATGCTGAAACATGAGGTGATGGCGGCGGATGAATTGCACGACAATGGGCCTCAGAATCTCATCACGGTATCTCTGTGTATTGAAATTGGCATTGATCAAATGAATTTGTGTTCGTTGTCCGTAGCTTATGCCCCCCCTCATACGATCCCGTCGGTGAAGAAGCCGGATGTGGAGGTCCACACGTGGTTACACGTGGTCTGCGGTTGTGAGGCCGGTTGGACATACTGCCAAATTCTCTAAAACAATGATGGAGGCGGCTTAAAGTAGCAAAATGAACATGAAATTCTCTGGCAACAACTCTGGTGGACATTCCTGCAGTCAGCATGCCAATTGCACGCTCCCTCAAATCTTGAGACATCTATGGCATTGTGTTGTGTGACAAAACTGTGGCCTTTTATTGTCCCCAGCACAAGGTGCACCTGTATAATGATCATGGTGTTTAATCAGCTTCTTGTGCATATGAAATATTTCAGGGATCTTTTATTTCCGCTCATGAAATATGGGATCAACACTTTACATGTTGCTTTTATATTTTTGTTTAGTGTAAAATAAAAGTGAAAATACAGTCGCTAGCTATATCATTTGAAGAATGACCATTTTGAAATGATAGTAGGCGGTAACACCACCAACAACCATGGTACACAATGTCTAACCAAGGTACAAAGTTAATGGGGGCCTTATCACCAAACATGATTTATTAACCATAATTCACCTTTCACCTTTTAACCCCTACAGTCCCATGGCCTTTAGGCCGGGGTCAAACTCCTTCATGTTACCATGCTAGTATATTTGTATTTTCTCCTTCCTGTGGCTTCATCAAGTCATACTGGCCCACTTCCTGAGTAATGTTCTCATCAACTCTCAAAACCACTTGGTTAAATTAATCAAGTCCATCCAGTACTGTATATTCACACGAAAGCTGTGAAAATGGAAGGAATGCTAACCCTGTGTAGCCTTGGTGAACTGGCCATACCTGTTTATCTACCCATGTCTCTAATAATTATCCATACATACACACCAGGGGACACGGAAACACACACACACAGGATAAGAATACTATGGCTCATTAGGGCCTGAAAGTGCAAACTCATCGAAACGAAACGACAGACTGAGTTGCCACAGACAATTGAAGCGATCGACATAATGGAATGTGTGTTGACAAACATTTAATCAGAAATGATTCACGGCCTTTCCAACGTACCCAAAATGTTTATGTAAATCTGCACGGATATAGTTTGGTCCACAACAAACTGTCCAAAATTGGTTTTAAACATTAAAATGTCATTCAATGTCAGTTTCTGTTTACAAAACAATACCCTGTTGCAGTTATAATACTCATTCCACTATACATCCCATCATCATTGGTGATCTTAGTTGATCCAGGCTGTAACAATGGGGAGATGGATAAGACAGTTTTGGTGATTTGTGTGCCATTCAGGTCACAGATGACTACAACGATGATTAAGATATTGCATTCATAATCCTGATTCAGCCCCTCATAGTTGCATCATTTTATAAGTTTGCTAATTTCTGCTAGCAAGCTTCGAGTTGGTGGGAAACTTGTCCTATTTCCTCAATTGTGGGTAACAAACAAATGAGGGATTCAAAGTTCAACTGTGAAGAGTGGACACACCTGTGTAGCCAGAGAGCCCTTTATTCCTAATAGTAGGCTAAGGCGTAAGCCATTTCAGCAACATCGACCAAAATAAAAGAACACATAGTTGTGTTTTTACACGGTTTCACAATGGTACCTGTTTGTCATCAATAAGGATGGAATGTGCTTAAGCCACTTCTCTGTTCCCATTAAGTTTCTAATGGTCAGGCTTCTTAGAATTTCTTTGTTTACTGTAGCTGAACTCGCTTCGAATGCCTGTCAGGAAATGTTCACTAATAATAATAATAATAGTAATAATAATAATAATAATAATAATAATAATAATGGTGTCAAACATTCGCCTGGGCAAAGAAACTCTTAAGCATAAACTGAAGAATACTCAGAAGGGTTGCGTACCAAATGGCACCCTATTCTAGCTTAGTGGTTAAGAGCGTTGTGCCAGTAACCGAAAGGTCGCTGGTTCTAATCCCCGAGCCGACTAGGTGAAAAACCTGTCGATGTGCCCTTAAGCAAGGCACTTATCCCTAATTGCTCCTGTAAGTTGCTCTGGATAAAAAAATAGAATATATATTCTCTTTATAGTGTACTACTTTTGACCAGAGGCCTATAGTGGTAGTGCACTATAAAGGAAATATGGTGCCATTTGGGACACATCGAAGGTTGATAATTAAACCATCAAAGTGAGTGGTAGCTTCTTCCCCCTGCGGTGTTCTAGCTCCACATGACAACCCAGGTGGGACATTGTCTTACCACATACATGTTTGAGTGGTGTAAGATCTTGTGTATCAATTTACGACCAAAAATTTGAAATCATCCCTTCATCATTGTGCTGAGATATTATTCGATGCCTGAACCTCCACTCAAATCCAAAACAAAATGTTTGGTTTTATAAATACTTTAATCTTAAAACAAAAACATTAAGATTCCAAAACAACTCAAAAGACCGCAACAAAAAATGTCAATAGCTCTTCAAGAACAAATAAAACCAAGTTCACCAAACTTGAGGGAGTGGGGAATATGGGGAGTGTGCAAGAGTGTGTGTGTATGTGGGAGTCACGTCTGTCAAAACAGTCAAGAAACATGGTCAAAGTAACAACTTGTAACACTGTATAAAAGGAGGGTTTGGGAGGGAGTTGGGCAGGGAGGGGGTCCTAGAGGAAAGTAGGAGAGGAGAGGGTGTGGAGAGGAGGAGGAGGATGGAGAACTAGTCCCATCTTGGATTGGCTTTGGCCTAGTAGGGCCTGTCTCTGCGGTCCTGTCTGTGTTCACCCCTACAACAGAAAGATATTTGTCACATTGTTAAAAGGAGTTTAAAAAACCTGCAGTTAAAAAAAATAACAAAGGGGACCCCCGCCACTGTTTTGGTAAAAATCGAAGGGATGGGGCTGGAGAAATGTAATCACTCAAATTCACAGACAATGCTATGGCTACAAGGATATAATATCAACATTCTAGTTTTAACCATGTTTTGAGGCTATACTGTGCTTGTTTACAATTACATTGTTTTTATTTCTTTATTTAAGCAGGAGAACTCCAATTGAGACCAAGGTCTCTTTTGCAAGGCGGCCCTGCATTACAAAGCAGCAAGCAATACAAATTACACAATAAGGAGTTAGTGACACAACTACATCAATCAAGGCAGGAGCACAGGAAACAAAAATACAAAAACTATAAAAACACGCACATTCTTCTTGGAAGAGGTCATTTACCAAAGACACTAGTGCAGCGGTGTCAAACTCATTCCATGGAGGGCCTATTGTCTGCGGGTTTTTGGTTTTTCTTTTCAATTAAGACCTAGACAACCAGTTGAGGGGCGTCCTTTACTAATTAGTGACCTTAATTCATCAATCAAGTACAAGGGAGGAGCAAAAACCTGCAGACACTCAGCCCTCCATGGAATGAGTTTGACACGTGCACTAATGTGTCCAATTGTAGGGTATTCTGAAATGTGTTGTGTGTGAGATGCGTAAAAACAATGGAGTGGTGTGTACTTGAGTGAGAGTCTGGTATTTGTATGTTGTGTATGGACCTGAGTGTTTGTACGCAAATACAAAAAGTATGTGGACACCTGCTCGTCGAACATCTCATTCCAAAATCACAGGCATTCATATGGAGTTGGTCACCCCTTTGCTGCTATAACAGCCTCCACTTCTGGGAAGGCTTTCCACTAGATGTTGGAATATTGGGGACTTGCTTACATTCAGCTATAGAGCATTAGGTGAGGTTGGGCGATTAGGCCTGGCTCGCAGCCGGCGTTCCAATTCATCTCAAAGGTGTTCGATGGGGTTGAGGTCAGGGCTCCGTGCAGGCCAATCAAGTTCTACCACACCAATCTCGACAAACCATTTCTGTATGGACCTCGCTTTGTGCACGGGGGCATTGTCATGCTAAAACGGGAAAAGGCCTTCCCCCAAACTGTTGCCACAAAGTTGGAAGAACAGAATCGTCAAGAATGTCATTGTATGCTGAGCGTTAAGATTTCCCTTCACTGGGACTAAGGGGCCTAGCGCAAACCATGAAAAACAGCCGCGGACATTATTCCTCCTCCACCAAACTTTACAGTTGGCACTATGCATTGTGGCAGGTAGCATTCTCCTGGCATCCACCAAACCCATATTCGTCCGTCGGACTGCCAAATGGTGAAGTGTGATTCATCACTCCAGAGAATGCGTTTCCACTGCTCCAGAGTCCAATGGCGCAAGCTTTACACCACTCCAGCCGACGCTTGGCATTGCGCATGGTGATCTTAGGCTTGTGTGCGGCTGCTCGGCCATGGAAACCCATTTCATGAAGCTCCCGACTAACAGTTATTGTGCTGACGTTGCTTCCAGAGGCAGTTTGGAACTCGGTAGTGAGTGTTGCAACCGGGGACAGACGATTTTTACGCGCTATACACTTCAGCACTCGGCGGTCCCGTTCTTTGAGCTTGTGTGGCCTACCACTTCGCAGCTGAGCTGTTGTTGCTCCTAGACGTTTCCACTTCACAATAACAGCACTTACAGTTGACCGGGGCAGCTCTAGCAGGGCAGAAATTTGACGAACTGACTTGTTGGAAAGGTGGCATCCTATGACGGTGCCACATTGAAAGTCACTGAGCTCTTCAGTAAGGCCATTCTACTGCCAATGTTAGACTATGGAGATTGCATGGCTGTGTGCTTGATTTTAGACCTGTCAGCAACAGGTGTGGCTGAAATAGCCGAATCCACTAATTTGAAGGGGTGTCCACATACTTTTGTATATATTAATAAATCATAGTGTGTGTACAATCTTGGGACACGTGCACCTTCTTACCTTCCATCCATCTTGCCCGGTCCGAATCCACCCCGGTCGCCTCCGCGTCCGCCTCGGAACCCACCTCTGTCACCCCCTCGGCCCCGGAATCCCCCGCGGTCAAAACCCCCACGACCCCCTCTGTCTCCACCGAAACCTCCTGACAGACAGAAATACAGAGAGATAGATAGAGGGACAGAAAAAAAAGGGGGAACATTTCATTAAAACAAGTTAACACAGAGCTACGGGCTGCATCCAGTTTCATGGCCACTAGGCTAACATAGCCTAGTATAAAAGGCAGTTTACACCTCCTCCATTAGTCTTTGTTAGCACATAAGCAAATCATTATCTGTACACAGACTTCCTGTAGCCATTAAGCTGCTCCCTTTGTGTGAGCATGTATCAGTCGAGTTAACAACAAAGTTGCCACTGAGCAGTAGTCAGCCACTGAGCTAAAAAACTAGGCTAAAATGCTGGCCTAAAGGCTAAAATGCTAGACTAAAGACTAAAACATTAGGCTGAAGTCTAAAAGCCAGTGCAGAACATTGGTTTCAGCCTTACCGCCTCCATCCATAGGAGACATGCCACCTTCGGCCCCCTCTGGTTTGGAGGACTTGCACTGGTTACACTCGTTCCTCCACGAAAAGTTCAGGTTCCCACACACCCTGAAAGGAATGAGACAGAGAATCTCAGACACACACCATGATAACTAGCGGCTCACCCCAATCCTCGCCCCCAAAATATACACCTCAGCCCTGACTTACGGGTTGGAACACTTCCAGTCTCCAGCTCTCTGCTGTCCTCCATTGCCATGGCCACCGTTGTCGCCAGAGAAACCACCACCACCTCTACCGCCTCCGAACCCGCCACGACCCATTGGCCCTACAGAGACAAAGGGTTAGAATATACAGGACAAGTACAATCATACTTAGCTCTCGAGAACCCAAGGTGGGTATACCCACCCCTTGAGTTCTCAACTGAAGGTACAGACCACAGCTGGGTCAATGAACTACAATCCCGACGCTCTGTTTTAACATTTAGAAACGTTATTAATCCTCGCTAGCGATACGGTTTTGGAAACCTTTGAAATGTAAGTTTCATATAAGCGAGAAAGAATCAAAAGATACACTTACTGTGCGCAGTTTAGCAAAGTTGCACCCGGCTGTTTTCACACACCACCTCGGCTGCGACACATCGTCTTACCTTGCGCTTGCATTTCCATTGCACCATTCCATTCCACTCCACATTTCCTGCTGGATCGCATGTGTTTCTCAAAATACAGCCGGGTGCAACTTTCCTAAATGTTCTCGCTTATATGAAAGTTCCAAATGTTTACAAAACTGCATTTAGAGCATTTGAGTAGCGTCTGAGAATTTCCCTCACAAGGCTAAAGGGGACATCCAATGTCTCAATGTAATGCAATTTGAGTCATGAATAAGGGCTAAATCATAGTGCACTCACTCATGCCCTCCTTCCCATGGGCTATACAAAATTATAGAGATACTTGGGCCCCTTTCCATTGGGGGGGGGGGGGGGGGTGAGGAGCAAGCAGTTTGCTGGAACAGTTCCGTTTCAATTCAATCAATTTAGGAAATGAACTATGAAATTCTAATTAAAGAATCGGAAAACCCTAAATGTATATCCAACGTGAACTGAAATGAAGTGGAATTGACTCCAACCCAATTGATCCAACCCTATAATGACCAACTCACCACCAAACTCTGCCTCACCTCCTCGTCCTCGGCCACCTCTCATGCCGCCACCCCCACCCCGGCCTACACCGAAGTCCGCCCTGCGGGTCGCAAAGGACACCTTGATGGGGTTCCCTTTGAAGTCCTTCCCTGCAATGGAGAAAACAATCGATTATAATATATTTACAAAACACAATTATGAAGGACAAGCGAAAATCAGTGACTACCTATTCTCCTCAGTGACTAAAAGATTCAACAAACCCATAAGAAAAATAAAATGCTCAGACTACGCTTAAAGAGAAATGCAGTGACCCACCACGCTACTATTTTCACTCATCCATTTCATGTTGTAAGTTTCAGTAAAATATTGTATTCCCCCCCCCAAAAAAAATGTCAACAGCAGTTTCTCCACAGGTAATCCCCTCACCATCAAACCAGTCGATGGCAGCTTTGGCAGAAGGGGGGTCGTCAAAGGACACGGTGGCCTCGCCCTTCAGCTTCCCTGTCTCTCTATCTGTATACAGGTTGATCATGGGCAGACCAGTCTTCTTATTGATCTGACAGATGGAGAAAGGGAGGTAGAGAGGGAGAATGTGACAAAGAGAGAAAGAGGGAGAATGGGAGAGTGAGAGAGAACGAGTAGGAAACGAGAGATTGAATGAGAAAAAAAGGCAACATTAAGATACAGAAGGAAAATGTATTAGTTGTAAGCATTGCACACAATGGCAGTAGCCTACCACTCAAAACATAGCCTGTAAGTAATCTACAGCAAAGCCTCAGGAAAGGATGCCACCCATGCACCAAAGTCAGGGAAGTGATGGGTGTGGCAGGTATAATTCAATGGAGGGAGGTGTTAAGAGAGTTAAATAAATAAATAAATAAGGTAGGTAGGTACCTTGATGATGCCGATCTGCTTGAAGAAGTCAGCCACAGAATCAACAGTGTAGCCGTCTCCCATGCCTTGCACGAAAATCGTGTTGTTGTCAGAGTTATCCTGATCTTCCACTGTAGGGAGGTGGTCAGGTCAGCATAGGGTTAATACACAGTGACAGTTACATTCATTCATTATGTAAGGTGGTTCTGATCTACAGTGGGGGAAAAAAAGTATTTAGTCAGCCACCAATTGTGCAAGTTCTCCCACTTAAAAAGATGAGAGAGGCCTGTAATTTTCATCATAGGTACACGTCAACTATGACAGACAAATTGAGGGAAAAAAAATCCAGAAAATCACATTGTAGGATTTTTTATGAATTTATTTGCAAATTATGGTGGAAAATAAGTATTTGGTCAATAACAAAAGTTTCTCAATACTTTGTTATATACCCTTTGTTGGCAATGACACAGGTCAAACGTTTTCTGTAAGTCTTCACAAGGTTTTCACACACTGTTGCTGGTATTTTGGCCCATTCCTCCATGCAGATCTCCTCTAGAGCAGTGATGTTTTGGGGCTGTCGCTGGGCAACACGGACTTTCAACTCCCTCCAAAGATTTTTTATGGGGTTGAGATCTGGAGACTGGCTAGGCCACTCCAGGACCTTGAAATGCTTCTTACGAAGCCACTCCTTCGTTGCCCGGGCGGTGTGTTTGGGATCATTGTCATGCTGAAAGACCCAGCCACGTTTCATCTTCAATGCCCTTGCTGATGGAAGGAGGTTTTCACTCAAAATCTCTCGATACATGACCCCATTCATTCTTTCCTTTACACGGATCAGTCGTCCTGGTCCCTTTGCAGAAAAACAGCCCCAAAGCATGATGTTTCCACCCCCATGCTTCACAGTAGGTATGGTGTTCTTTGGATGCAACTCAGCATTCTTTGTCCTCCAAACACGACGAGTTGAGTTTTTACCAAAAAGTTATATTTTGGTTTCATCTGACCATATGACATTCTCCCAATCCTCTTCTGGATCATCCAAATGCACTCTAGCAAACTTCAGACGGGCCTGGACATGTACTGGCTTAAGCAGGGGGACACGTCTGGCACTGTAGGATTTGAGTCCCTGGTGGCGTAGTGTGTTACTGATGGTAGGCTTTGTTACTTTGGTCCCAGCTCTCTGCAGGTCATTCACTAGGTCCCCCCGTGTGGTTCTGGGATTTTTGCTCACCGTTCTTGTGATCATTTTGACCCCACGGGGTGAGATCTTGCGTGGAGCCCCAGATCGAGGGAGATTATCAGTGGTCTTGTATGTCTTCCATTTCCTAATAATTGCTCCCACAGTTGATTTCTTCAAACCAAGCTGCTTACCTATTGCAGATTCAGTCTTCCCAGCCTGGTGCAGGTCTACAATTTTGTTTCTGGTGTCCTTTGACAGCTCTTTGGTCTTGGCCATAGTGGAGTTTGGAGTGTGACTGTTTGAGGTTGTGGACAGGTGTCTTTTATACTGATAACAAGTTCAAACAGGTGCCATTAATACAGGTAACGAGTGGAGGACAGAGGAGCCTCTTAAAGAAGAAGTTACAGGTCTGTGAGAGCCAGAAATCTTGCTTGTTTGTAGGTGACCAAATACTTATTTTCCACCATAATTTGCAAATAAATTCATAAAAAATCCTACAATGTGATTTTCTCTCAATTTGTCTGTCATAGTTGACGTGTACCTATGATGAAAATTACAGGCCTCTCTCATCTTTTTAAGTGGGAGAACTTGCACAATTGGTGGCTGACTAAATACTTTTTTCCCCCACTGTATATCCCAGAAAATACAAATACTTCTTAACATAATTAATATACACAATTTGCAGAGGTAGGAGCAGATCAGAAAAGCAGGATGCATACTTCTGCTGATCTAGATATCCCAGAGCAATATAGTGACACAAACTAATGAACTTAATAACATGATGGCAAGAAATGTAATCAGTTCTAATTGTAGCACTATCAACTGTCAGAGGTCCGTACTTACTGGAGCTGGGCCCACCAGGTCCCTGGTCTCTCGGTCCTTCAGGAAGAAAAAATACATATTTAAGTTTACGTTTTTTAAGTGGACACCGCTTGCGCTGCCACACATACTACTATTCTACAGTCCCACAACTTTTGCACATTCACAACTACGCATTCTTTCGATTCTCATATCCCTACAAAACCGCTCACACAAAACACACCGACTGGTATACCGTTCTACATGCCTTTTGTGTAGTGTGTACTTTTCCAACAGTCTTGAAGGAATTCCCACATATGCTGAGCACTTGTTGGCTGCATTTCCTTCACTCTGCGGTCCAACTCATCCCAAACCATCTCAATTGGGTTGAGGCCAGGTCATCTGATGCAGCACTCCATCAAATAGCCTGTACACAGCCTGGAGGTGTGGTGGGTCATTGTTCTGTTGAAAAACAAATGATTGTCCCACTAAGCCCAAACCAGATGGGATAGTGTATCGCTGCAGAATGCTGTGGTAGCCATGCTGGTTAAGTGTGCCTTGAATTCTAAATCAATCACAGACAGTGTCACCAGCAAAGCACCCCCACACCATAACACCTCCTCCATGCTTCACAGTGGGAACTACACATGCAGAGATCATCCGTTCACCTACACTGTGTCTCACAAAGACACAGTGGTTGGAACCAAAAATCTCCAATAGACTCCAGACCAAATAACTGATTTCCACCGCTCTAATGTCCATTGCTCGTGTTTCTTGGCCCAAGCAAGTCTCTTCTTCTTATTGGTGTCCTTTAGTAGTGGTTTCTTTGCAGCAATTCGACCATGAAGGCCTGATTCACGCAGTCTCCTCTGAACAGTTGATGTTGAGATGAGTCCGTTACTTGAACTCTGTGAAGCATTTATTTGGACTGCAATTTCTGAGGCTGGTAACTCTAATGAACTTATCCTCTGCAGCAGAGGCAACTCCGGGTCTTCCTTTCATGTGGCGGTCCTCATGAGAGCGAGTTTCATCATAGCGCTTGATGGTTTTTGCGACTGCACTTTGAATCTTTCAAAGTTCTTCACATTTTCCAGATTGACTGACTGTCATTTCTCTTTGCTTATTTGAGCTGTTCTTGCCATAATATGAACTTGGTCTTTTACCAAATAGGGATATCTTCTTCTTTTTTCCACTCCCTTTCACTACCTATCTGGGAGCAAATAGTTTTTTCCCTCATACATATTTCCCATTCTGTTCCCTTCCCTCCGATCGATGCCGTTACGTAACCAGAGTAAGGGTTAAAAGTATTTTCTTTAGATACATACTGTAAGATTACACAGGACAGGTGATGCATTAAATCTGTCTATGCTTGACTTTTGACTTCCATTGTCAAAAGAGGAATGACTAACATACAAACCACACTGGCTGTTGCATGCGCAAGCATTGCAAAATAAAATGTCCACATACATGTTATTCAATATTTTCGCAAGTGAACAAGTCTGTGTAGCCAAGCACTAAAATAGAACTTTGTTCTATTTGAGATGCTTCACGTGGTGCAAGTTCCTTCCTTATTGGATATTAGGAAGATACAAACCCACGTCGACGCTTGAAAGACAAAAGAGGAGAGATTAATTAAAGATAAAAATGGAAACCTAGTTAGGTTTTTGTTATCTGTGGATGAACTGTCGGAGTAGAGAAACACACCATTTTGTATGACTCTGGGTCAAAATTCGACAAAGAACCAGCTAAAAAAAGAGGACCATATGCATGTCAGATAAAATAACCCAATGTCCATGAATGTTTCATGCATGTTTCGACCTGCCCCCAAATTAATATAGATGGTTCACAGTTGGTTTTGATATTTTAACCTGCATGTCATGATCGCATCTGGTGTGGATGGCGCCGGTGTAGTCAGCATGTAAGTCCAAGATGGTAACTAAAAAACCACCAGTACCATCATCAATACCACCATTGAACACTTTACCATCATCAGTACTTCCACCCATAATTTTTGAAGTGGACTGTCTGGGCAGTACACTTCGACAGCATTTAGAAATCAGAAGGTGCAGAGAGCCAAATTCCTCACACCAACAGTGAGAGTGAGCATAGCATTACAGAAGGAAAGGGAGAAACATGACCAAACACCCTACGTCAGTTGCTTTCCTTACAGTAACAGCCCTGAACATTAATCTGGGCACAACTCCTCTTTTGTCAAAATCTTCTCAAGCAAGTAGAAATACCTTATTTGACCTTTTGGGGGGAGGGGCCCAACATCCATTGTTGAGAGTCAATCAGCCAAGTAGACATATTCAAACTTTGACACCTAGAAAGACCTTCCGTCTCAACTCAAATCATCTTAGAGCCCAGTGACTCAAATTCAGAGGATTAAAGCAAGATAACTTCAAATCAACAGAGATTGAAGTTACTGTACAGCTCCCTCTGCTGCTAAGGATTTTGGAGTGCAGTAAACTCAATCCTACGCAGTACCAAACACGACAGTGACATTTCTGATATGGAATATACACACTGATTATTCTTACCTGTTGAGGTGACAACATGCAGTACATACATCATGTGCTACATAGCATATTGAGGTGTTATAGATGTATTACATAAGAAAAAAACAAGACAACTAAGATATATTATAATCCCAATAGCAGGTTTTTATCCAAGGCAACTTACTCTGGAGCTACATTAAAGCATGGAGTCAGTGTCATTTTGCCCGTGTCCTTAAGGTGCTACATACACACACACACACTCACAGAGAGCAATACAGTAAATTAAAATCAGCTCACATGGATGCAAAATCGAAATTTGAAAGGACTCATCATGAGTGCGTAAGTACAAGCACCCACAGTCTTCACAAAAATAACAATCAGACCCAAATAACAAAAGATAAAAGTTGAGTCATCGCTGAAAAGGGGTACGCCTCGAGGTTGCATATAGGAAAGGGAAAAATATAACAAAAAACGTATCATTTAACTAATTCCTTTGTAGCCCATTTAATACTTTTAATTTACAACAACTGAAAAAGCATCAAGTAAACAAAGAAAGCCAACCACAGAGTTTCTAAACTCAGAGGCGCAAGGTCGCAAGACTTCCGGGAAAGCAGGCGAAACAGACCAAGCAGCCAAGGCTGGGGTTTGAGAAAATTCTTCCTTATTTGTTAATTTTCTCGAAATCTAAAAGGCACAACCAGGATTAGAGCCAATGTCTTAAGTAATTGAACATGTTATTACTTCAACCTTGTGAAAGTGACAAACTGACACACTTTCATGTCAAAAACAACTTTATAAATCGAAAGGAGTGGATTCGGCTATTTCAGCCACAACCGTTGCTGACAGGTGTATAAGATCGAGCACACAGCCATGCAATCTCCATAAACTAACATTGGCAGTAGAATGACCTTACTGAAGAGCTCAGTGACTTTCAACGAGGCATCGTCATAGGATGCAACCGTGCCAACATTTCTGCCCTGCTAGAGTTGCCCCGGTCAAATATAAGTGCTGTTATTGTGAAGTGGAAACATCTATGAGCTACAAAGGCTCAGGCGCGAAGTGGTAGGCCACACAAGCTCACAGAACGAGACCGCCAGGCGCTGAAGCGCGTAAAAATAATCTGTCCTCAGTTGCAACACTCACTACAGAGTTCAAAACGTCAGCACAAAAACTGTGTCAGGAGCTTCATGAAATGGGTTTCCATGGCCTAGCAGCCGCACACAAGCCTAAGATCACCATGCGCAATGCCAAGCGTCGGCTGGAGTGGTGTAAAGCTCGCCGCCATTGGACTCTGGAGCAGTGGAAACGCGTTCTCTGGAGTGATGAATCACGCTTCACCATCTGGAAGTCCGACAGACAAATCTGGGTTTGGCGGATGCCAGGCGATCGCTACCTGCCCCAATGAATAGTGCCAACTGTAAAGTTTGGTGGAGGAGGAATAATGGTCTAGGGCTGTTATTCATTGTTTGGGCTAGGCCCCTAGTTAAGGGAAATCTTAAATGACATTCTAGACAATTCTGTGCTTCGAACTTTGTGGCAACAGTTTGGGGAAGGCCCTTTTCTGTTTCAGCAGGACAAACCCCCCGTGCACAAAGCGAGGTCCATACAGAAATGGTTTGTCGAGATCGGTGTGACAGAACTTGACTGGCCTGCACAGAGCCCTGACCTCAACCCCATTGAACACCTTTGGGATGAATTGGAACGGCGACTGCGAACCAGGCCTAGTCGCCTAACATCAGTGGCCGACCTCACTAATGCTCTTGTGGATGAATGGAAGCAAGTCAGCGCAGCAATGTTCCAACATCTAGTGGAAAGCCTTCCCAGAAGAGTGGAGGCTGTTATAGCAGCAAAGGGGGGGACCAACTCCATATTAATGATTTTGGAATGAGATGTTCGACGAGCAGGTGTCCACATACACTACATGACCAAAAGTATGTCATGTTTCCACCAATGACAATAGGTTTCTACGGCTCTGACCCGAGCGTCAGCAGTAGAAAATAGAACCCATCGTATTTTTTCAGCTCGACGCTGGGGGGGGAAACGCAACGCCAGGAATGTGGCTGCTTCCATTTATTACAACGAGATAAATTATCCCGCCTCTCCAGCGTCAACGCAACGCTGAATGCCCCAATGTAGCTCCAGCCTTACAGTCATGCGTGCTTACGTTTATTGTATGGGTGTGGTCCCAGTGGGAATCGAACCACACAATCCTAGTGTTGCAAGCGCCATGCTCTATCAACTGAGCAAAATAGGACCAAAATATGTTGAAAGCAACCCATCTAATGAATAATAAAAGACCTTAAATCCTAATTACGTTTGACTTTTCTATCATGACCCTTTTCCACCTCAATATGCTATGCTTTCTTTCTATTCTACCCATAACTCCTGAATGTTAGTTTTGTTTCTAAGATAAAATCAAGACCAATCTTTCCTAGTTGGTTAACTTTGTGTGATACTTCCCATATTGGTTGTTCTTCCGACATCAATTCCCTCTTCCCACGATCAAAAAACATCACAATATTTTTAATGTCCGGGGCCAGTATCCTTTTTGGGCCAATAATCTAAACCTTTTACATCTTGTTTCCCCCCCTCCCTTTAAGCATGACTCTTTAAACCCACCAAATCTCTTATTTAAAGAGTTTTGTCACTTACCACCAAACTTATTGAATCCTCCACGATCGCCCATTCTGATGAGGAGAGAAAGGCGACACGCATTGAAGGCTGGTGTGGACAGAGCCACATTTCTCTCTAGGGGGGGTTTCCACCCCCTTTTTACCCCATCCCCTCTTTACTCTCTTTCACTTCTCTCTTACTTTGTTCAACCCCTATCTCTTCATTGGAACCACCCTAGGATGTGTCCCTTCTCCTTGACAACTGAGGAGTCGGAGGTCAGTTTTGATGACCTTGTCTGTTTGGTACGCTAGTCCTCAGACCTTCGCATCTTGTTTGCAAGTGGGTTTTAATCCGAAGATCAAAACTGTCCACAGTCACTTCTCCTTGCTTTGTACAAGAGATCATTTAACACCCTGAAACCAACTCAGACCAAATGTTATTGTTTCCTGGAACTGCTGTGTCGTGTTGTACACTGTTTTATAACACTGCAAGAACAGCTGCGGAATCCAAGTAAACATAAATTAAGCACCTACAGAAAGGAGTTTTATGAAACCTTCCTTGATATTTTCTATATAGGTGACCGTCTTGAGACTTTGACATTGTCTTAACAACACACTTCCTATGTAGGTCTTTGACATCCTTTCTAACTGATCAGTCAGTGTGTCCATGTTGCACTTGCAACTCTTATTCTTTAACCCCTGCCTATAGTCTTCTCAGTGAATTTCTCCTGCCTGTCCTTCCTTCTTTCTACCATTCCCCCTTTCCTCAAGAGAAAAAACAAAATGAAAAACAGAAGCACACCATGGAGAGGTGAGAGCCTAGGAGGAGATTCAGAGATTTATTAAAGCATCATATCACACAGTAAAAGGGTGGGTGGGAAAGTGGTGTTATAGAGGTGAAGAGGAGGGTGGAGTGGGGGGGTGGCAAGGTCATGTGGTGTGTTTGTGTGTGGACAGTGTCAGTGTGCACATAAAAAGTTTGCCAGTAAGACCCTTCAAATAGTTCACTAAGATAAATAAATCATCACACGGCTGCCAATGTAAGCAGAGGATAACTCTTGATGAAATGTGATAATGACTATAGTGCTTTAGCTAAGCAAAACAGGGGTGGATGAGTGCCAGAAACTAAAATGTGTTTCTTTGTTTTCTGGATCTTTCAAAGTCACTCAAGGCCCTTCAGGGATTTCATTTCTGCCATGGCAAGATGAGCATAAAAAAAAAGCCTGCTATATTGCATAATACATTTAGTAGATGGGAAGAAAACAAAGAAAAAGTTCAAGGCTACTAGGTCTGATTAGTGAGCGATAGACAAGGCAGTTTGAATAGACACACAACAGAGACCTGTAAGGATTTGGTTTTGCGTTGTCACATAACGACTCCGGGATGCTGACCTTCTAGGCAGAGTTGCAAAGAAAAAACCATATCTCAGACTGCCCATCTTTTCTTTTTATTGGCCAGTCTGAGATATGGCTTTTTCTCTGCCTAGAAGGTCAGCATCCCGGAGTTGCCTCTTCACTGTTGACGTTGAGACTGGTGTTTTGCGGGTACTATTTAATGAAGCTGCCAGTTGATGACCTGTGAGGCGTCCGTTTCTCAAACTAGACACTAATGTATTTGTCCTCTTGCTCAGTTGTGCACCGGGGCCTCCCTGGTTAGAGCCAGTTTGCGCTGTTCTGTGACGGGAGTAGCCATTTTGAGCATATAATCGAACCCACAATTGCTGATGCTCCAGATACTCAACTAGTCTCAAGAAGGCCAGTTTTATTGCTTCTTTAATCAGCACAACTGTTTTCAGCTGTGCTAACATAATTGCAAAAGGGTTTTCTAATGATCAATTTGCCTTTTAAAATGATAAACTTGGATTAGCAAACACAATGTGCCATTGGAACACAGGACTGATGGTTGCTGATAATGGGCCTCTGTATGCCTATGTAGATATTCACATTTTTAAAATCAGCCGTTTCCAGCTACAATAGCCATTTACAACATTAACAATGTCTACACTGTATTTCTGATCAATTTGATGTTATTTTAATAGACAAAATAATTGCTTTTCTTTCGAAAACAAGGACATTTCTAAGTGACCCCAAACTTTTGAACGGTAGTGTATATTTGCCCCCATCTCAGTGAACTAAACCATTGCGGAGACTAAAAGCCAACTGATGCTTGATCTGAAAATGTGGTCGGAGGCTCCATATGGAGGGTGTGACGCAATTGCAGAGCCTCCAGAGGTATGCAGAAGCCAAATCAAGCTCCTTACTGCATTGCCATGCGCCTCCCAAATGTTGTAACAATGCGGAGGGCTCTGTATAACTCCGAATTGACATGATTGGTTGACGGTAGGTGGAGGCGGTACATCCTGTAGAAAACACAAACTCACTTCCTTGACAACAGCTCTGCACTGCTCTACGAAACGCAAGAAGTATGAATGCCCTGACTTCTGCTGAGGCCGTATCACCGTAAATGCTGCATGGTCAATGCAGACATCGGAACCATGCGCCAATTTGTGCACATTCATTGTTTCATAACTTCATTGTGTGAATTGTTTGTATTTGATTGTTAGTGTATATCAATTCCCAATTACATATATCACCAGTAGTACATTTACCGTTAATTCCTAATCTACAATGTTTGTTACTTTGGTTCCGGTAATTTCTGTTAATGCATTCAATATTAGGCTATTATTCCAGTCTTCCCATTATCATTGTCACAGTGGACACATTGTTTGCAGAGTGCACAACCTATGTTACACCTATGTGAGAAACAAGTTTTGGTTTATTTCATTCCATTTACGAGTTTTGTCAATTTAGACATTGTCTTTTGTTTGGAGCGCTCCTGTCAATGTTGAGTAAGGACGCGTACGCACAGAAGTAGTCCTATAGGCTACCTGGCCTGCGCGTAAATGTAGGCATAAAACATTTGCCCATTTGGGGATCTGATAGCATTTCTGATTGGCTTAACGCACCACCACTAATGACCTGTGGAGCTTCTCAAAGTAATGTTTTCTTCACCTCAAACAGCAACAAACAAAGCCTGTTTTTATATCCATTGAGAATTACAATAGCTCCTCAATGTATTTGAAAAACCTTTCCTTTCAATAACCACTCAGAGTGAAAAGGGAAAAATATCATGCTCGGATCCAGTCGAAACGTCATAAAATAGGCCTACCCGATTATTTCTTATCAGTGCTTGACTTGGACTGAAATAGGTTCCGGTACTCATTTTGGGTGCTGGTACTGTTTATATTTTAGGTGCAGGAGCTCCACAATACTTTTGAGCTAATATTCTATAAGAGGAACAGGAGCTCAAGCAGTAGAACATTTGAGGTGCCTGTACTCAGCTCCGGTGAGCTCCTGCCCAAGTCAACCACTGCTTCTTATTCCTTGCACAAATAGCCTACAGCTATGTCTGTCCCGAGCTCACTGGTGCGGGAAACTGAGCGCCCAGAATATTTTATACAATGTCGCAAATTCGCTAGCGCAGGCTTCAGACCTGACCCAAGTTAATAGTTGATACAATGTTTCAAGTACGTTGCAGACAGGTCATGTGTAGCCAATGTGATTTATAGGATATTTATTTTTTTATCCAGATATTTTCTACCTGAAGGCTGTAATGTTTTTATTGGTTGGCTTGATGTAGGCCATTTTTGCATAGTTGGCAATGGCAATAGAAGTTACTTTTTAGGTTTGTATCATTTCATTTAGATAGAATTTTGATTAACCACATAAATGATTTTAAGATATGAAGACGTTATTATAAATTAAATGAAACAGTTTCACGAAAATGTGCATATGAAAACCATAACTGGCACGCAGATCGGTAGAAATTGTAAGATAAATTGGCATTCCACATGAAAGGTTGCCTACTACCGGCAACTTCAGGAGCAAAATGGCAGAATCTGTGAAAGCCAGCAGGAGCGGGTGGAGAATAGATGGGTCAGGTTAAGGTGTTTTTCTTCTGGTTATCTAGATCTGGCTTCCGCGAGGCATTTGTCTTATTTCATCAAACAGTGAGCTCAATGCGTATAGTTGATTTTATTAAAACACATTTATTGACAACCATGTCTATTTATGGAAAAATAAGTTTAAAGATTTTGACCAATCGATTGAACAGACAACTTTCAGTCTACCAAGATTTTTTTTTTTTTGGTCGGGGACAGCCCTAATACTCTCCCAAGTAATGGAATACTAGCATCTGTTCAGATATTCAAATAATCATGCCCTTCCCTATCTTGTAATAGCCCAAACACAGACACTTTGTATTGAGTATCAACCCCCTACACAGGTGTTTACTTGACTGATGTGTGGATGTATCCAAACATAGATACAAGAGTTGAGTGTGTGTATGTCCTTTTGTTTTGTGGTGAGTCCAGGTAAATGTTATGGGGGACTGATGCAAGACGTCTAAGTGAATACTGAGGCGGGTGTGTGTGTGTGGAGGAGCAGAGCTATTGAGTCCTTACCCCATGCCGCCTGTGCCTCTATGTCCGCCACCTCGGTCGAATCCCCGGTCACCATCCCCGCGACCTCTTAAGCCGCCTCCCCTTTCTCCACGGCCTCCACTATCTCCGTAGCCTCCGTCCGAGCCACCTCCTCCCATTGGTGGAGAGTTGCCTCTGTATCCTGTGGGGTAGTAGATGGAGGAGGTTGAGATTCTAGGTGGGTGCTCAAAAATAGAAGGGTGGGTGCATTTGAATGAACGTCAACTGGACCTCTAATATCAGAGGGGATTCCTTACCTCCACCCTCCTGGCTGTACTTGGTCTGCTGGCCGTAGCTCTGGGGTGGGGGTGAGCTGTAGCTGGGGGCCTGGCTGTAGGGAGCCCCCCCGGGCTGCTGCTGGCCTCCGCAAGCCCCACTCTGTCCACCGCCACTGCCCCCGTAGCCACCTCCACCTCCGCTCTGGCTCCCGTAGCTGCCCCCACCCCCACTCTGCGGTGGCTGCTGCCCGTAGCTAGAGGGCTGGGAGTTGTTGCCATAGCTACTGTGGAAAAGGGACAAAAAAGGAGCAATGTTATTTTAAGCCCAGCTGCTTTAAAATTTTAGGAACACTAAGAATATGCATATGCATCAACATTTCATGGTTTACCAACACATTTTGTATTGTTATCCCACAATGCAGAACTTCACAAACAGTCTTCCATAGTCTCTCACCTGGTAGAAGACTGTGCAGCAGCAGACTGCTGTTGTCCATATCCAGAGTAGGACGACTGCTGGTTGTAGCCGCTCTGTGGTGGCTGACTACTACTACTACTGTTGTAGCCCCCAGAGCTGTAGGACTGACCGCCCTGGGATGGAGGCTGAGAACCACGTCCTCCTGAAGGAAGGTCACAGCAAGGGAGAGAGAGAGGGGACGTGAGGTGGATATGCATCTGCAGACATAAGCTACCAAGCACCAATTATGGAAGCAAAAAAACAGTTTGTCAATAAATAGCTCCATCGCTAGATAAGACAACAGGAGACAATACTTAGAGACCAGACTACATGAGGAACACAATGCCTATAGCTGCACGATGAATGAATATTTATTATGGTGCAGTTGGTCACGTACCTGACTGCGACTGGCCGTAGTTAGAGCCGTAGCCTCCCTGGCCATAGGAGGCAGAGTTGCCCTCAGAGCTCTGGTTGTAGCCGCAGCTTCCACCGCTGCCGTAGCCCTGCTGGGTGGACGATTGACTGTAGCCACTCTGGCTGGCCTGGCCACCACCATAGGACCCATAGCTGAAAGCAGCAAACACAGATATTATATGGAGTGACAACATGCACATACAATCTCATCTCAATATAAGAAATGTGTCACTTCAAAACTGGTGTGACAAGTAATTTTAGTGAGAAACTGAACTTATATAGGACTTCACATCTTGATCAAGCTTGCAGAAAATAATGTAGGCTGGGCTTAGCCAGAGCCATGTATTTAACTTTAGGTGGAGTTTAGCAATCTGGGATAAAGTTAACATCCACTAATAAGACGATACCACACACATATTTTGACTCACCCCTGGGCTGCAGTCGGAGGGTAATCTGAGGAATAAGAAAAGGATGTGATCAGTAGAGGTAGCCTAATAGTATAGGGCTCTGCCTAGCGGGTGGAAACGAGCTTTGGTGTTGAAATTTCACTTAACGTTATAAAACACATTTTACCAAGACAAATATGATTTTTCATGTTCCGAATCGTTCAGTGGGGTCTCTCTCGAACATATCATTAACACTATATCCAAAAAGTAGGATTTCGTAACCTAATACATAATTGACAGAGCGGTGCTGCTTTTCTCGCAGTAACTTGAGGATTTTACATGTTGTGGTCGTTTCTGCGGGTCGTAAAAAGCTAAATAAGCATGACACGAACTGAATTAAATGTAAAAGGCTTTGAAAATAAAAAGGTTTGCGGTACGCGCAGTGCTCCGTTTGTGAAAAATCTTCAAAAAACAGGAATTACACATTAATATGAAAATCGTATACTAAAATATGAAAATACTACGTCATGTCTCAAAATCGATATCTATCTTACCTTTATATTGTTTTATGTCCTCCGGATTCGGATATGTGAATTCTCATCTAAGAGCTTTTGACCCAAGAGTAATGCAGTGTAATCACTGTAAAGCTTTTGGGCATGTGGAAAGTGTCTGCGGAAGGGAAAAGATATCCATGTTGTGGTGGAGATAATCTAATGTGTTGTAGAAGTGAGGAGAATGTGAAGTGTTGCAATTGTGGTGGGAACCATGAAGCGACGTCTTTGGACTGCCCGACGAGGGTGAAGGAGGATGAGGTGGCTAGAGTCAGGGCATCTCATATGCAGCCAGGGTTTTTTCTGGATCAAAATGGGGCTTAAGTGGTGGGTGTGACAGGGCCATGGGTGTGGCCAATTGTGTGGTCACAGACCTGAAGTTAGGCCTTCCTGTTGGCTACAGTGAAAATGTTGCGGTTTTAAAAGCTGATATCCTGCAATTCTATACATTTTGCCATGTGGAGGAAATACAACTATGCAATTTCAAAGCAAATTTCCTGCAATTCTCACATTTTGCCATGAGGGTGAGTGAAAAATTAGAAGTTTTGAAGCTAATTTCCTGCAATTCTACAGATCTTGCCATGGGGCTTAGAGAACATTTTCAGTTTTAAAGCGAGTTTCCTGCAATTCTAAACATTTTGCCATGGCTTATGCTATCTGAGTGACTTAAACATTATACCAAAATCAAATGGGGGCCCCATGCCATGACAAAAATACTTCTGAATGAATCATTAGGAGTTTTAGATTCTCCCTGACTGTCTAGCTTTTATTTTTTGTTAGTTCTCAAAGATGATTTATTTTTTTTAAAATATACAGTGCATTCAGAAAGTATTCAGATCCCTTTACTTCTTCCACTTTGTTACCTTACAGCCTTATTCTAAAATGGATTAAATTATTTTTTTCCCCCTCGTCAATCTACACACAATGCCCCATAATGACAAAGCAAAAACAGGTATAGACATTTTTGCAAATGTATTTAAAAGAAACAGAAATATTACATTTACATAAGTATTCAGACCCTTTACTCAGTACTTTGTTGAAGCACCTTTGGCAGCGATTACAGCCGAGTCTTCTTGGGTATGACACTACAAGCTTGGCACACCTGTATTTGGGGAGTTTCTCCCATTCTTCTCTGCAGATCCTCTCAAGCTCTGTCAGGTTGGATGGGGAGCGTCGCTGCACAGCTATTTTCAGGTCTCTCCAGAGATGTTAGATCGGGTTCAAGTCCGGCCTCTGGCTGGGCCACTCAAGGACATTCAGAGACTTGACCCGAAGCCGCTCCTGCGTTGTCTTGGCTGGGGGCTTAAGGTCGTTGTCCTGTTGGAAGGTGAACCGTCACCCCAGTCTGAGGAACTGAGTGCTCTGGAGCAGGTTTTCATCAAGGGTTTTCTCTGTACTTTGCTCCGTTAATCTTTCCCTCGATCCTGACTAGTCTCCCAGTCCCTGTCGCTGAAAAACATCACACCAGCATGATGCTGCCACCACCATGCTTCACCGTAGGGATGGTGCCAGGTTTCCTCCAGACGTGACCCTTGGCATTTAGGCCAAAGAGTTCAATCTTGGTTTCATCAGACCAGATAATCTTGTTTCTCATGGTCTGAGAGTCCTTTAGGTGCCTTTTGGCTAACTCCAAGCGGGCTGTCATGTGCCTTTTACTGAGGAGTGGCTTCCGTCTGGCTACTCTACCATAAAGGCCTGATTGGTGGAGTGCTGCAGAGATGGTTGTCCTTCTGGAAGGTTCTCCCATCTCCACAGAGGAACTCTGGAGCTCTGTCAGAGTGACCATTGGGTTCTTGGTCACCTCCCTGACCAAGGCCCTTCTCCCCCGATTGCTCAGTTTGGCTGGGCAGCCAGCTCTAGGAAGAGTCTTGGTGGTTCCAAACTTCTTCAATTTAAGAATGATGGAGGCCACTGTGTTCTTGGGGACCTTCAATGCTACAGACATTTTTTGGTACCCTTTCTGTGCCTCGACACAATCCTGTCTCGGAGCTCTACGGACTATTCCTTCGACCTCATGGCTTGGTTTTTGCTCTGACATGCACTGTCAACTGTGGGACCTTATATAGACAGGTGTGTACCTTTCCAAATCATGTCCAATCAATATAATTTATCACAGGTGGACTCCAATCAAGGTGTAGAAACATCTCAAGGATGATCAATGGAAACAGGATGCGTTTGAGCTCAATTTCGACTCTCATAGCAAAGGGTCTGAATACTTATGTAAATAAGGTATGTTTTTTATTTTTAATACATTTGCAAAATGTTCTAAAAACCTGTTTTTTTCGCTTTGTCATTATGGGGTGTAGATTGATGAGGATTTTTATGTATTTAATCCATTTTAGAATAAGTTTGTAACGTAACAAAATTTGGAAAAAGTGAAGGGGCCTGAACACTTTCCGAATGCACTCTATTTAATGTATTCATTGAATGGTGACACCAGCCCTTCGGAAAATACATTTAAATTGTGTTTTACTGCGATTTTGTTCCACCCTGCTCCATGTATTCAATGTATTCCATTTAAAATGTGGCATCCAGTGCGGCTTAATGCCACGTTCAAAACCAATGGGAACTCTGAAAAAAACGAGCTCCGACTGGGAAATAAATCGATTTCAGTGGTCATCCAACTCAGAATCTCAGGCCTCTTTCGAGAGCTTAACTTTTTTACCTGAAGATCACCTGATTTGACCATGTATTTTTCCGAATTCCCAGTGGTTTTGAATGCAGCATTTCTTCCAGGCTATCCCTTCTCTGTATGTTCCTAGGAGCTAGCTATTTGTTCCCTAAAAGCAGGGGTGAAAGTAAGGCGGTATGGCGTCCCTGCAAAATAAATAGTGGGGGTAGGCCGTACTGGTAAAACGTGAGCCTATCACAATTAATAGAAACGATAGGCTATTAAAAAATAATTTAACACTAATGCATGTCAGCCGCGTGAAAAATGTATGAATTGACTGGAAACTGGGGGGTATACACTCCCCAAATTGCATTGTGGTTCAATGAGAACACTTACATTTTGTCAAGGCGGAGATGAGTGGCCGAGACGTGCACCAGACACACAGAGATGAGTGGCCGAGACCGAAGCGCATGCAGACAACAGTTGATGGATAAATTCAGGCTACAAGTGTAGGCCTAATGACAATAGCAGAATGTCATTACAATACACGTTGGTGCCCCTTTCCATTCATCAAATTGCAGGTAAATTGAATTAAATAGCCAAAATGATATAGTCTAAGTAGCTTACTCCTGTCTATACAGAAATAAATACAATCATTGAAAATAGGCTACTACACCAGAAAGCATGATTTGGCGGCAGAGGATCATTAGCTTCTTTTTTTTTTTTTTGCTGTGGATTGTTTTAAATCGCATAGCCTAAAGTTGGAAGGGCCCGCAATTAGGGCAGCGCGCCAGGCAAATACCAAATAGGACTAGATGATTGTTGAGTTGCGACTGTCATTGAAAAGCAGAGAGCCAGGCATATCGCAATATTTAAAAATACAATCACGGAAAAACAGTATGGAAAGCAAATGGCTATTGCTGTAAATAGATTACAATGAAAATAATCCAAATCTGTCTTTTAGTCATCAAAATTCTAAACTTCATTGAGCGAACAGTAGCCTAGTATCTTATTGGCACCAGCGGAGAACATCGGCCATATCCCCGGTGAGTGTGCATATTCTTTATCATTGGGTCAGTGCCACTTTTGTTTGTTTTTGGACAATAATTTCCTCCTCCAGGTTAGATGGACGTCATATTGTATTTGTGTCTCCCCTTTTCCTATGCCGATTATATGGATCAGACAACATTTTTATTGATCTGTTTGTCAGTGTCAGCAGAGTAGGTTAACCTGTAATTTTTTTAGTATTAAAAAAAGATTCTACTGATGTCTCCATTCATATAAAGTGTAGTAGAATTGCATGAAATGTGTTTATAAAAAGGCCAACAAGAAACTTCTCATAGGCCTATAGCCTGCGCTGCATTTTAGTATTTTTGCGAACAGTGATTGAGTTATATTACTAGCCTAAATTATGACTATCCAATCTAATCATCACATTAGCAATAGTAGGCTATCTTACATAAGTCTGTGAATGCGAGGATGCATGGAGTGCTTTATTATAAGGGTCCATGTTTATGGTGAAAATTACCTTCGCGCCGCCTATGTTAAAAGGTATTGCATGTTAAAAGTGATATGACAAATATTTACGAGGCCCACAGACATCATATACAGTGCATTTGGAAAGTATTCAGACCCGTTCCCTTTTTCCACATTTTGTTACGTTACAGCCTTATTCTAAAATGAATTAAATAAAAATCCTCAATCTACGCACAATACCCAATAAATGAAAAAGCGAAAACAAGTTTAGAAATGTTGGCAAATCTATTAAAAATAAAAAACAGAAATATCTTATTTACCAAAGTATTCAGACCCTTTGCTATGAGACTCGAAATTTAGCTCAGGTGCATCCTGTTTAGATTGATAATCCTTGAGATGTTTCTACAACTTAATTGGAGTCCACCTGTGGTAAATTCAATTGATTGGACATGATTTGGAAAGGCACACACCTGTCTATATAAGGTCCCACAGTTGACAGTACATGTCAGAGCAAAAACCAAGCCATGAGGTCCAAGGAATTGTCCGTAGAGCGCCGAGATAGGATTGTGTCGAGGCACAGATCTGGGGAAGGGTACCAAAACATTTCTGCAGCATTGAAGGTCCCCAACACAGTGGCTTCCATCATTCTTAAATGGAAGAAGTTTGGAACCACCAAGACTCTTCCTAGAGCTGGCCGCCCGGCCAAACTGAGCAATCGGGGGAGAAGGGCCTTGGTAAAGGAGGTGACCAAGAACCTGATGGTCACTCTGACAGAGCTCCAGAGTTCCTCTGTGGAGATGGGAGAACCTTCCAGAAGGACAACCATCTCTGCAGCACTCCACCAATCAAGCCTTTATGGTAGAGTGGCCAGACAGAAGCCACTCCTCAGTAAAAGGCACATGACAGCCCGCTTGGAGTTTTCCAAAAGGCACCTAAAGGACTCTCAGACCATGAGAAACACGATTCTCTGGTCTGATGCAACCAAGATTGAACTCTTTGGCCTGAATGCCAAGCATCACGTCTGGAGGAAACCTGGCACCATCCCTACGGTGAAGCATGGTGGTGCAGCATCATGCTGTAGGGATGTTTTTTAGTGGCAGGGACTGAGAGACTAGTCAGAATCGAAGGAAAGATGAACGGAGCAAAGTACAGAGAGATGCTTGATGAAAACCTGCTCCAGAGTGCTCAGGACCTCGGACTGGGGCGAAGGTTCACCTTCCAACAGGACAACGACCCTAAGCACACAGCCATGACAACGCAGGAGTGGCTTCGGGACTAATTGTCCTTGAGTGGCCCAGCCAGAGCCCAGACTTGAACATGATCTAACATCTCTGGAGATACCTGAAAATAGCTGTGCCGCGACGCTCCCCATCCAACCTGACAGAGCGGATCTGCAGAGAAGAATGGGAGAAACTCCTCAAATACAGGTGTGCCAAGCTTGTAACCTCATACCCAAGAAGACTCGAGGCTGTAATCGCTGCCAAAGGTGCTTCAACAAAGTACTGAGTAAAGGGTCTGAATACTTATGTAAATGTGATTTGCATTATGGGGTATTGTGTGTAGATTGAGGGGCAGAAACTATTTAATCAATTTTAGAATAAGGCTGTAACGTAACAAAATGTGGAAAAGTCAAGGGGTCTGAATACTTTCCGAATGCACTGTATGAAATGAATAGGGCTTCTATATGTAAGTCTATGATTACACCCCTAGGCTATACAACAAAATGCGTGCGCGCACTTTGTGTCCCGTACCGATAACAAATTAAATCTACTTTCACCCCTGCCTAAAAGTAATCGTATTCCGACCATTCAGAATATGTTAGATAAGCGACCAAGTTAATAAAATGACCTCTACAAAACTAGGTCAGTAGGTAGCACAGATCGGTCTCTTTGCTTGGTTCAGTTGGTTGTTGTAACGCTAGCTAAACAAAATGGTTGGTTGTCGAAAATCTAACTATCTAGCAGTCTTTGCTTTGGCTAGCTAACTTTTGTTTGACTTGACAAGTTAACTTGCCAACAATTGTACATTTTAAAATGTTTCCTTTGCTAGCTAGCTATCTAAAACAAAATATGTATATAACGTTACACAGTTAGCTGACTGACGTTAGCTTGCAAGCTAGCTACTTTTCATCTGACGTTAGCTAGCGTCTTGTTTTTAATGGCCATTTCAGATATAACGTTGTCTTGTCCAATGTATTCTTACCATTCGACGCCATCTCCTCGTTTAAAACCTTCGAGTCTGAGTTCAAACTTGTCAGATGTTGATTCGTTAGCCTTTTCTTCAACACAGCAGGTCGCAACCGTTCTCTCAGCCTCCAGTCATATGCCGCATTCACGTACTATTCGGAAATAAGAAACTCGGGAATGTCAGACTTGCTAACTGGTTGGTTGTAGTTATACACGTTCTGCGTTCAACTATTTATTTAGTCGGAAATGTCCGAGTTAGTACATAAACGCAGCAATATTGCACTAGTCATATGTCAGATGACGACTCCATCATGACGTAATATAAGCGTCATCAATGACCACATTTATCCATAGCCCAAGGTTTGTCTGATTTAATTCTCACATATCAATGAAGCAAGAAATTAGGATTTCCATCTGCTCAGGAGTCCATGTGTCAAATACTTGAGGTGCCACAAAAGTAGACAGTTGGGAAAAACACATTTTTATAGAACACTAATTATATTAAACACATTTTCTCCTTTATTTGAAAAGGTCCAGAATCATGAAACTTCTGTTATGTGGTGAAAAAAAAGTTCAAGGCAATATGTGTATGCTATGGATTTGGTAACAAGGAAAAATCATTTACACACTCAAAAGACTCACACAATCACAGACAGCCACCATGTAACATACAAAATATTTCAGTCGAGATGAGCAGGCCCATAGCTGTGGTGGGGCATAATAGGGTGTTTTTCTTGAGTCGTGCACATTGCTGAATGGAGGGGTGTCAAAGGATCCCCAGGAGTTTGAAATTATCTCAGTCAAAACAAACAAGTTTTACACATCCAGATAAAAATAAATTCTCACATTATGTTTCAGGTGGATTTTCAGTGTGTCGGTCAAGTCTAATTGCCATTTTAGGTATTGGCCTTTTAGTTATTGTTTGTCAGGCATGTTTAAACAGGTATTGTAGTTTAACAATACCAACATTTAGGCTATTGGCACTGAACCAGAACATGGAGAGCTTCTTAATGGCTTCTTCATGTAATCATTTTCATATTATGAGCTGTTTGACACAATAATGACACAGTAGACTATGGAAGGCTAAATTACATACTACTTCAAACATTTAATGTTTTATACATAGTTTCACTTATTCCTATATGGTGTGCATCTTGTTTATATCAATTTGGATGTTTAGTGCTTGTACAGGTGATTTTTATGGTTGTCAAACACTGTTGTATCCACATACACTAGACTTCAGACATCTACATATTTACTGCATCTTTGCAGGTTTCTGTAGGCTGGGATGTTTTGCCAGAGTTAAGTTGTGTCAATTCAAATCTGGTATAGGAACAAAAAGAGGTCAATACACGTCTTCTAAAATAGACTAGTATTTTAATTAATGCAAACACTTGAATGGTAAATATGATGTTCGTATATACGGGCTCACTGAAACACCATGCAGGGCAGACAGAGAACTGAGCTATTGTTATAAATTCTTCTTTAAATACTCTGACAGAGATAGTTCCCGCTCCCTGCTGGGCCTGTCAGAGTAGAGGCTGGGTGTGGTTTAAACTTACCCAACCTATCGATGGCGCACAGGCTGGTCCCAGCCTCTTGGCACTTCACTGTTGCCAGGTGTTAGTTGTTTCTGTTGCAGTACACATGTCCTTGAGCGGTTTAACAAAGAGGCAGTGTGTGTGTGAGTCACAAGTTTCTCAGCCTACCCCCTAACGGTTCCTCACATTAATCACAGCTTGTTATGTTAAACAATCTATATCAGTACAGCACAAACCTATTATGTTTAATCATTAATGTATTCTTTCTAAGCTAAGCATCACATCTAGTTGTAAGAGAATAGATCCCAACATCAGCAATAGTGAAGCGAGGGTGTATCCTAGTACCAGAGCCCCACTGGCTGCTCTCTGTGTGGCCCCACCTATGAGCTGGGCCTCTGGGACTATGGCTCTTATGAAATCAGCGATTTCCCGCAGAATGCACGACATCTGTAACAGACTTTCTCAAACAAGGGATAATACAGGCAGCACAGCACATCAAAATTAAAAACATAACGATTAGGGTCAGAAATCCAGTAACCACCAGTGCAGCATACTTACCAAACCACTCCCCCAACCAGGAGAACAGTCCGTTTCCCTCCATTCCAGCCATGCGTTTCCCTCCATTCCAGTTTCTCTTTACCCCCCATCTGGATGATCAGTCCCGCCCGGTCTCATATCCCCGTCCCCAAGTGTGTTTAAACACTTGAGTCTAGGAACAATCCGCCGTGGGGGCCGAACACGAACATAATGGGATTTTATAATCCCAAATTGCTTATTGACATGTACCCCACCCATTGGCTACGTCCCTAACCCTTATTTTGAATCTGACAGTCTGCCCTTCTCTGACTCCCATTTTGTAGGCCACTCGTCCTTGACGGTCAGTATGTCGGGTCGCTTCTCTTCTCTTTTACTTCTTAACAATGGTAAGGGCATAGCGTAATTGGTGGTGGATCTTGACATATCAAGACCATTGCCGAGACTATGATGCAACTCAAGTTATCCATATTCCCAAAAACTGCCAACCCTCACCTGTCTTTCTGCTTGGTACTACCCCATACTCACACCCTGAGAACACACTACAGTGATGATAGGTCAGGGTAGGAGATCTTCGTTAACAGAGGTGATCCCCAGACCCTATTGGTCCAGTTCTTCTCTCTAACTCTGCATGTGTTCAGTGGTGCTTGCATGTGTTCTTACCTTTTTGCAGTGGGTAACGTGGACCCAGGTCCTGTGAAATATATTTTCCATAACCCAAAATATTGTATTTTCAGCTGTTTGAAGTTGGTGTACAAAACCAAAAGTAAAAGATGCAATAGCGAAATGTCTATGAGAATTTGGTCTGGTCGCCCAAACAGTTACATATTGTAGCTTTAAGCATCAATTTGTTCTCATGTTCTTATCCAAACTGAGTGCAGCACCTGTGAGATGATCGTTGACTTCAGGAAACAGCAGAGGGTGCACCCCCCTATCCACATCGATGGGACCGCAGTGGAGAAGGTGGAAAGCTTCAAGTTCCTTGGCATACACATCACTGACAAACTGAAATGGTCCACCCACGCAGACAGTGTGGTGAAGAAAGCGCAACAGAGCCTCTTCAACCTCAGGAGGCTGAAGAAATTTGGCTTGGCACCTAAAACCCTCACAAACTTTTACAGATGCACAATTGAGAGCATCCTGTCGGGCTGTATCACCGCCTGGAACGGCAACTGCACCGCCCGCAACCGCATGGCTCTCCAGAGGGTGGTGCGGTCTGCCGAACGCATTACCGGGGGCAAACTACCCGCCCTCCAAGACACCTACAGCACCCGATGTCACAGGAAGGCCAAAAAGATCATAAAGGACATCAAACACCCGAGCCACTGCCTGTTCACCCCACTATCATCCAGAAGGCGAGGTCAGTACAGGTGCATCATAGCTGGGACCGAGAGAATGAAAAACAGCTTCTATCTCAAGGCCATCAGACTGTTAAATAACCATCACTAGCACATTAGAGGCTGCTGCTGCCTATTGAAATCACTGGCCACTTTAAGAAATGGAACACTAGTCACTTTAATAATGTTTACATATCTTGCACTACTCATCTCATATGTATATACTGTATTCTATTCTATAATATTATACTGTATCTTAGTCCATGCCTCGCTATCATTGCTTTTCCATATATGTATATATTCTTAAATTCCATTCCTTACTAGATCTGTGTGTATTGGGTATATGTTGTGAAATTGTTTGATATTACTTTTAAGAGATTACTGCACTGTTGGAGCTAGAAGCACAAGCATTTCGCTACACCCGCAATACCATCTGCTAAACACTTGTATGTGACAAATAAAATGTGATTTGATTTGATTTAAACTCTGTTATATCCCTCAAAACACAGGGATATCGATTCGGACCGGACTCAAATTATGCATGTAGTGATCGTGCACATAATTACATTACCCAACCTCCCCAAGTAAAATAGGGCTTTGTTCTATGCACGTAGCCTACAGATGAATGATCTGGTTTGTCATATAATAAACTTTCCCAGTGCCTATTTCAACGTTAAAAGATTAAGGGGATGATATTGTGCCAATTAATTGATAAATTGCGTTATTCCAGAGGATGATTTGCACAGGATTCGTTTTTCCAAACTGCCCCCTGTAATTACTTTGTTTCTTCATTCAATTGAGCCTTCATGGAAGCCTGTTTTTCTTTTAAATTCTAGGCTGATGATATTTCAACTTCATATCTAGATGATAAAGGCTACACTGACAACTTTGCTTGCATAGGTGTCCCCATAATATTTGAATTGAGGAAGTGTGATAATAATCATTATTTTAGCGATCCAAAGTACATTTACATTTTAGTCATTTAGCAGACGCTCTTATCCAGAACGACTTACAGTTCGTGAGTCCATAATTATTTAATTTTTTTTCATAGTGCTCCTCCGTAGGAATCGAACCCACAACCCTGACGTTGCAAGCGCCATGCTCTACCAACTGAGCTACACGGTACTGTGGACAGTAGACGTCCTTCCTAATGAAAATGCCCTCCATCCTGCTGATGTGAGCTGCTGAACAGCGCACTTGCACTTGAAATGCGTTTATGGATGAGAAAGTGAACTTGCCATTTCCAAAAAGGTTTAGCTCAGTTGGGAATCGAGAATGCCCTAGTAATGTACTTTACATCGTACTGTGCGGTTGTTATGGTTTATGACAGTGTGCTGCTTTACGTATGAATATGTTGTCAGAATGAGTGGCACGTCATTAAACGTCAGAGTGATGTACAAATGTGAAACCGTGCAGACGTGCATTCTTCTACAGCTAAGCTAGATATGACATTGGCAACGAAGATGACTGAATTAAATTGATGTCCACCGGCACCATTCCTTGCTGTGCCTGGCGAACCACCAGTCCCGTGGAATAACTGGCTTCAAAGTTAACACTTATCTCGAAGCTAAGGACTTTTTCTACAATCTCCGACAAGCGGAGGACAGCACTGCTCTGTGACTGCCTCCGTACGGAGGGACAGAGGATTTTCAGAGTGCTTGGATCGGCTCCTACATTCACCGCTGCAGTCAGCCTCCTACGGAACC